CCATTGGGTATCTTCTTGACGGGGCCAGAAAACTTTTAACTAACTGCCCTCCACGCTGGGTCCTCCAGTTAACAGAGTCCCTGAGAGGCGAAACAGAACAGTTAAGCTTTATTCAATGTAGGTTTTAATCTTGAAGTTCGGGAATTGGGGAGATTTAGTCATTTATTTTTGAGCTCATGGAAAGAAGGGGTTGATAGCAACAGCTTACCCCAGTTAGCAGGCAGGCTCCCCACACAGCTGTGCTGGCCTATTTCAATTAGGATCCTTTAGGACTTACATCACCTCTGGTATGCCAGTCCTAAGCTGCTCATGAGCCAGTACTGCCAATCAAGCCAAAATTCAACCACATGGTATGGTTTTTATGATGTAGACAGAAAATGACATGCACTTGTCTCATTCTGGTGAAAACACAAAGTTTGAAGCCAGCTCTCTAAAAGAAGAAAATTAGTAACAATGACAAGACTCTAAAACTTGATTGAGACACATTTTCCTGTGACTATCTCAACACACTTAACCAGTAGGTTATTCATGGTGATTCAAGGAATGCCCTCACTCAAGAAAAGGCTCCAGTCCTTATGCTACGAAGAGGTCATTTCTGGGTCACTCTACTCATGAGACCACAGAAACAGTAGAATACGCTTACGGAGAGGAGGGCACAATTAAACGTATATAGCCGTACCTGAGAGTGTGTCATTCCTGCAAACTGAAAGATACATGCATTAAAAGCAGAGCTGCCACTTGACCAAAGAAACAGAACTACATATACGAATTTAGGAATCACTGAAAATATGAAGAATTAAAGAACCCTTTGATAGTCTCTGTAAGTCATTTTTTCTTTTCGTTTAGTTCACATATCTACACGGCACTCTACTAGGTCCTTCGGGAAAAGCAGAAATTCATAGGACACTGTATTTTTCCTGGAAGAATTTAAAATTATTTTCTGAGTAAGCCATAATAAAGGGGAGAACCAAAACACCCAGACCATGTCTCATGCTAATATAATCCCCAAACAAAATACAGCCCAAATAAACTAAGTTTAAAAAAAATGAGTAACTTGTATAGGGTTAACCACACTTAACTGATAAAAATGGCAAACCCTAACTGTAATTTTGTTAGTAGGATATAAGAATAAACTTTGTGCACCTCCTAAGTTTGAGTAATAGCCTACTGCATGGTGTGCTAGAAGACTGCTCTCCAAATTATACATACATAATAGTAAAGGGCACCAACATGTATTAAAACATACAAATGTACAAACACATACATGCATTTATTTATTCATTTTCTTTGTCTCTCAAAATACTTCAATATCCATATACATTTTCAAGGAAAAATGTTCCTGGTATAACAAGATTCTTCTGCAGTTCACTAGTGACCACTATTGGACACTCTTCCCTCAACTTAAATGAAGCAACATAAATGGTGTATGTGAAAATAATAATGGGGACCAGAAAGTGGTCCTGAACACACTGAAACACTAAAAACAGGAGCCTGAGAAAACAAAAATGTAGCTGGCCATATCTAGATAAGAAACTTCACAAAAACTTGAAGAAAGTGATTTTTAAATTTTAAATGCTTCATAGTGCCCTTTAGATCTATGTGAAAAGTCTTCAAGCTTGATTTAAGGACAAGCTAGGCTTGAGAATAAGAAATCTGTGTGGAGTGAACAATTATAGAAAGGTGCTTGTGCATGCACATGAACACACACAGACATACAAGCTGCTGGAACAGGCTGTGTTCTCCTGTAAATAAGGGACTTAACATTCACTCCACAAGCTAATGGTGCTTCTCCCCATCCAAGATAGATCCACTTAGATAATAGTGGGAGAGAGTGCCAGAGGGACTGAAGGGAATGGGCTATTGTGTTTGACTAGTTGCCATGTATAAATTAGTGCAGAGAAGAAAAAGAAATTCAACAGAAAAACACATGTACTTTATTATAATTCCTAGTGTTACTCTTGCAACTCTCACAATAGCAGGCGAAAGAGCTTAAAACTACTTAAAAGAAACAAAAGGCAAATGCAAATTTGATTAAACGCCTTTCTGACAAGAAGTGATTTGACTTCAAGTGTAGATGGACACATATGTCAATGGCCGGTCATGGTTTTTGCCACATTCTTTTTGAGCTAAACAAATTGGGACAAAGGAGAGAGAATAAAAACGAGAGAGCAGGATGGGAGGATTGGGAAAATGGCATTATGTAGTTTAATTTCACCTGAATATCAAATGAAATCTCTTGATCAGTATGACTTGTCCTATTGTGTCCAGAATATAAGAGAAATCTATGATATATGTTCTTTGCATGAAAATATGGGTGGTAACCTAAAATAGATTCAAGACACAGGAAGCCCATTCTCTCAGAAGTAAGTTCCAAGAGGAAAGGATTTTGACAGAATGGAGGCTGAACAACCTTCAATATTTATATACACTGAAGAACCTAGTCATGATACAGATGATTCAGTTGTCAATGAAATGAAGGATATTTTGATAAGGTAGAAACTGGACTTGCCACTAAATGGACAGGATTTTTTCCAATTAAGTTACAGAGACCTTTAGAAATTGCCCAAAGTAAGTCCAAAAATAGACAGAATCCTTGCAATGTGTAAATGAAAAAAAAAAAAAAAAAAAAAAACCCAAAAAACTATAGGAAAAACAAACCCCTCAATTCAGTTTCTCTATCAAGCTTGAAGGTTGAGTTGATGATGCTACAGTTGTAGTTCTAAATCAAGTACAGAACAGGCTAAAGGTCAGTCTCTTAAGCCAATAATTAAATTTAATGTTAAAGGGGGCCGTTAATGAGCAAGTCTAACAAGCGCTCATGATATTGTATATATCTTTAATGATCAAGATGATGCAAAAAGCCTAAATATCTCCAACAAAGGGTACAGGCTAACCTGCACCACTGTTTTCACTGTTGCTAAATATTTACAACCACCATACAAAGCAAACATGCCCTATTCCCTCCATTATTTGACCTTTGGGTTCAAATGCAAGCTTATTTCATTACCTGAAAAACGGGTTCAAAAATGTCTTATTTGTGTGATTGTTGTAAGGATTCATTGTAATGATCTTCAAACAACTAGCCATATTCATACAGAAAATACATGACAGCAATTACTAATGCTGTTATTGCTTTGCAAAGGGATATATGTAAACACCAGTCAGTTCTTTCTTTTGTAGCATAACTCTCAGATTTCCATTTCATTTAAATGCAGGGGTAAAACAAACCTAGGTTTGTTTTAATTTTATCTTTATAATACAATAATTGTAATTTAAACATGATACGTTTTAAGTCCTTCTGAAATAAGCATACATACCTTTTCATTCCACATAAGTCAAATTATATGCTCAAATATATATATGAATATTCAAGATATCAGAGTGGGATATAATGCATTTACCAAATGGATAGCAAAACAATCTATTCCTGAATGGGAAAGTTTTATTAAAGTATAATGAGTTCATGCTTCCATATGAAAATATCAAAAAAAGTAATGTGTACTGGTAATTTGCTTTATGATGCAATATAATGGGAAAATAACACACACTTAAAAAAATCACAAAGAAGGAAAGATGAGACAAACTAATGGTGTATACAAGTAACACATCCCATATGGAAAAAATGAGACACCTTTCATAAATCGCTTGCTCCACAAGTCATAAAGCATACCCAAACATTCTGTTCTTTATATTTTTCAGAACAGCTAAAACCTACAGTTCATTCATGCTTAAAATGTAGTTTGCCTTTAAATTTCTATGAAAAATGTATTAAAAATATATTTCTATATTTATAGCACCTGCAATGCAGCATTATAATTTCTTAGCTACAAAGATGCAAATCATTAAGAAGTGGGAACGTATAAAATATCTAATCTGTCTGATTACTCTATTTGATGAATCTCCTGGACTTTTTCAATTTGTACCAAATGGCTTGCTTCCCTACTTCAAAATTATAGGGCAGATCAGATGTGTCAGAATCTAATCAGAACAAAACATTCCTTCCCATCAAGGAATCAATGCAACCTATTCATTTGCTACATTTTTACCTTGTTCTCTTCTTGCCTTGTTACCTTCTGAGGAAGTTCTGGCATGTTATAAATGTGACAGGAAAAACTACAATCACATTTGTTTGGATCAGTGTGTGCAAATTTTGGAATCAAACCTTTAGATGAGGTTTACTAAGCTGCCTGCCCAGAACACTCTGGTTTAAAAAAATGTGCATTGCTATTAATATTTTGAGTGTAGATTTATTTTGGACAGTAAATGTTCATTTTCTGCCCATAAAACCAAGTATGAGTCACAACGGAACATTTACTTTGAGTCAAAAATGCAATGTGTACTGATGTTCAAGAGCAGAGCATCTTATCACTATGACTGTGGCAATCAGCCGTACTAAAAGTCATCATTCTTTTTTCTTCTTTAAAAGTAAATTAGAGATCAAAGACCATAATCCTCAATTCATAAATCCTAGCATTAACTTCTATCCATAAATGACTTGCAGTAATTATGAACTATAATCTGGGTTGGCTGCAAAGAGCCTCTCATTCCCCTGTTTACCTGGCTCCTTAGTACATGTGCATAGCGGAAAATAATTCATTAAAGGCAGTACGGGCAAGCCCGGCAAAGCGTATCCTTCAAAAAGTTCGGAACACCACAGTGAGTGAGTTTGATTTCAGGATGTCTGTTATCCAAATTCCGAGCATACACACCACCATGTATACAGTCCTCAGCTCCCACACTCCATGCAGTATGTCCCAAAGTTCATGTCTCAGTATCAGTATTACGATATAGCAGTAACTAATTCCAGAAAGTCCTGCAGACTTCATCTTGCTTGGGAAGTTGGGGTTCAAAGTTCTGGAAGGAGTTTTCTCTCTTTGTAATCGTGTACATTATTTCACCTGGAGCTTTCAGATAAAGACACACACACACACACACACACACACACCCCAGCACCCAGACTCAATGGCAATAGCAATGTATTGAAATGAAAAGGCATTTACCAGGAGCAGGAAAGCCAGAAAGAGGAGCAGTGTGCCAGGAGTTGCCCGACGGCAGCATTCCATGCTTGGATCCTTGCCGGAATCCGAATCGGACACTGAATAAGCTGCTAAGTGCTCCTCTGCCTGCTGTCACATCCAGTACTGGTGCTAACACTCCAGTCCTGCCTATCAGCTTCCATCAGCCCCGCTCACATTTCCTGACCGAGGGGTGGGTGGGTGGATGGGTGGGGGGGTAAGCTGAATGGAATCTCTCTCGGAGCAGGCAGCCAGCCAATCAGGCTCCTGCTAATCAGACATGCTGAATAACAAAGCCAGGAGGACAGAGAAAGTGTAACAGTGCGAGCAAAAAAGGGGGAAAAGGACGAAAAAGAAAGGCGAGCGAGCAGCAGAGCGAGAAGGGAAATGCAAAAGATGCAGAATTGCAAAAGATGAAGTCAAGCACTGTGCTTCCCATGGACCTGGTTAGTTCTCTGTGAGATGCGTTTCTATTTGCCATTTGCCTGTGCTGATGTCTGTTGCTTTGTAAAGTACAGTAGCTCCCTGTGACTGTGTATTGTTCCATTCAGGAGAGAAACTTAATCCCTGTCAATATATAACATATGCCATAAAGGGAAAGAACCATAGACAAAAACCGACTTAATGTGCCCTGTAAATGTGTTCTGTACAACTGTTTTATTTCGCCTCCATAAAGTTCCTCTTTACTTTCTCTCTTGACTTGGAAAATAAACACTCTATACATTTTCTGAAGGTGCCTCACTAAGCCTAAACGGTGGCATAAGTTATTTTGTGTTATTAAGGACTTAATTTGGAAGAAAAACAAAAAAACAAAAAACAAAAAAACCCACAAAGCAAGTTGCTTCTTCGTAAAGTGACAATTTAAGGCATTTAAGATTTGCTAATTGTAAAGGCACAATTAGAAATTTAGATCCCCCAGTTTAAAAAGAAGCCCTCAACAAAGACTCCAGGATGAGTGGGGTTGAAATTTGGGGTTGAGGAGCAGCCTGGTTTTGATGCACTGCCAACTCTCAACTATCTGCTTTAGCCACGGGAGAGAAAGAAAGGATGAATTAAATCCTCAGTTAATCCCCAAACCTTCTTTTAACCAAGTTTCAGCTTCCTCTGCACCTCACCCACATCCTTTATCAGAGCTGCTATAATACAGAAAAGGGTGAACTGAGTTTTACCTCATTTTTCCGTCCACTATTGCAAGAGGGTTGGACGAGATGACCTTGGAGGCCAGTCCAACCCTGAAGGAAGTGCTAATGAGCAGTGAAATGACAACAAGGCCAGCAACAGCAACGAGAAGGTCAGGAAGCTTCTGAAGCTGCTTAATCCACCAGCAAGGGAGATTTGACTCTACCAGAGGAAGGTTTTATTACAGTTTTAGAAAAGTGTCAAGTGTCAAACAAGGATGTATTTCCCCTTATCTGCAAAGGAAATCGTTGAGTTTTGAAAGAATAAAAGAGCAGCCTTGGCCTTACATTGCCATAGGTGTGTCACCAGGACGTTTTCCCTTTACAGACCTCCTGAGAGCCCAGAAATATATGCGGTGGACGCACAAGACATTTAGAATTAACGTTCTTTCCTTTCATTATTAAAAAGTACTGAGAAGAGATATGAAATACACAAATATGGAAAACCTGATCAAGCCATATTGGGCATGTGAATACAGGCAGGTCTGCCTATATACATACCTGCTGTGTTGCTTTTCAAAAAGGTGAAGAAAAGCAGGTTGTTCAACTTTAGGTTACCTACTTCATATGGTATATCAATTAAAGAGAGAGAAACTTTAAAAATCCTATTTTCAAGCTGTTAGGAAAGTCAAGGTCATACGAAGATTCACCTTTGTTCTCAATACTAAGTATGTGGACCTAGAAAAATGGATAGTACAAATACATAACAAAGAGAGCCTATTCTCAAAATATGTTTTCCCTTTTAGAAAGATTTGTTTTACAAATCTCTCAAAAACTAGCTAATGCTCATAAGCTAAAGTGGATTCACAAGTAGATATAAAAATGCTTAACTTTGTCTTTCCACTATTGCTTTTATCTGAAATCCTCATCACATTAAAGAAAGGTGATTGATTGAAATAAACTTTCATATATAAAGCTATGTTATATGTGTCTTTCTGTTACACACCAGAGCTTTCTGCTAAAGGGTTTATTTTTTTCCCTCCTATCAGAGTCATTAACTGAAGAGTTTCAACTAGTTCTATTAATGGAACATTTTACCTAATACCACCTTCTCCCTCTTCACACATAAACCCTGCTCATTAAGCAGATGCAAAGGGAAGAACAGGTAATGGGAGAAAGAAAAGTAGCAACAATGCTAACGACAAGATACTATTTGTAGAGGAATAGAAAAATAATCAGCATGGTCAGAAAATAACTGGCAACAAGTTGTATGCTAGTCTAGATTCCTTTCTGCTTTGCAAATAAATACTGCCTTGGTATTTTGAGTCAGAAATTTCTGCCTTGGAGTTTTGATGGGCATGCTAATGTACAGCAAGATGGTCACCTCAATGAAGTCAACGAATAATACACTATTTTAAAGTCCAGGCCTCAATCACCTATTGAATGCCTGGAGGATGCCCACCACGTTGTCTCATGCTTCTGATTCCTCACAGCATTGTCTCCTCTTGGGAATACCCAGAGAAACTAGGAAAAGCAATTGCACATCCAGAGCTACACAGTGCAGGGGAAATTACAAATTTGCTATAACTTCAGAAAAGGAAGAACAAAATCAAGTTGGGTTAAGATGATTGGGGAAAGTTTTGGTAATGAACTCATTTTGATAATGGCCAAAATTTACATGCCATCTTTATGGTTTACAATATAAGTTTACAGTTTTTATCTCATCTGACCTTTGTGACTACTTTTTGAAATTAAGTAATCACCCCATTTTATGTATGTGGAAACTGAGGCTCAGAGAAGTGAAGTAACTTGACTGAAGCTTTGCTGGCTAGAACTGGCCATTGAGCCATAAACCAAATCGAAATCCACCCTCATCTCATATTCACATATATGCATTTATATCTATATATGATGTATACACACACATATATTCACATGTGGGCAGTGATGTGGTTGAAGGGGGATGTTTATAGGAAAAGGAAAGTAGGCTACCAGGGTTTACTATGGGTATATGTTACCTGACAATGGAAAGTATCTTATTTTAGCCTCCAGCTTCTATGTCTCTTGACTTTCTCATGTCTAAAACTTTTTCAGCACCTAGGAAAAATAACATAAAACTTTAGGTAATCTAGATCCATATTAGTGGCAGCCGGGAAAAGGCCCCTTATGGCATCTGAGCAGGGCGTTGGCCAAATTCCTTTTTTCCTCTTCAGGTGTCTAAATTAAAGCCGTCTGCAAGTGTGTGAGCAGCAGCACCAGCAGAAGCCGCGGCAACCGAATAATACTGGTTACTGGCTCCATGCACAACATATTAGGTGAAATGAAAGCAGAATCAAGAGAGAGTGTCAGGGCTGTCTGAAGCATCATTCCAAATGGTATGGATTTAACAATACTTAATTTAAAAAACACCAGCTTGGACAGAAGCAAGCTGTTAACATTCAGTGTGCTTTATGGGAGGAAAGAGTGAGCTAAACTTTCGGTATTTCTCTCCCTGGGGAGAATTCGTTACAAGCCTTGCTCTGGAGCCACCTGTCTCTTTCTTCAGGTTGAGCCTCTTTGCTTAGCCTGTCAGCTGCAGAAACCAGTGTTACAGGGGACACAGGGTCTCCTGGAAAGAACTCAGGGCTGGGAGGATTTCAAGATCTGGGCAGGGCCTAATCTCCCCTCTTTAAGGAGGTCGTTATGGCAGCATCTGAGCCTTGTTTTCCTCACAGGGATGCAGTGAAGTTTGATTTCCCTGGCTAATTCTGAAAAATAAAGTAAGGGTGACTAAGATGAAACTATAGGAAGCAGACTGCTATTCTCAGGGGCAGAACTGGAATTTGAGCATTACTCCACAACTTGCCAACTCACCTAGTATCTATTTAACACTAACGCCATTAGAGCATTCATTACAGTTTTCAAATCACCTTTCACACATGGTCTAATGTGACATGAACAGAAACTTTAGGAGTCAGAGACTGATTATTATCCCCAGTTTGCAGATGAGGAAATCAGTCCTCCTACATAGAAAATGGGTTCATCAAAGTTATTAGCAGGCAGGAAATTTGGGGCTCTATCAAAGGCTGTTTGACTTTCCCCAGGACTACCATCTGAGACATTGACAGATGAAAACAGACAATAGACATACACTGAGAGTCTCCCACGTGTAGGCACTTTTCTAAGTATTTTATATGTATTATTTCATGTAATCCTTACAATAACTCTATGGGGTAGGTACATTTATTAACCTCACATAGATGTTTTTAATGATGGATTAGCAGTCAACTTCATCCCAACCGGTGCCTGAAGTCCAGAAACATTTTCTAGACTCCCTTGCAGCTAGGGTACTGGATGGAATTGAGAACTGGCCACTCTGAAGTACTACAAAAATTTGGAAGGAGGAAGTGAGGCAGAAACTACTACACTTTGCTCTCTCTGCTTGTAAAAATGGCTACAAACCAATGAGGTTTTCCTTGTAACCATGCTAACCAGTTGCTATTTTTGCAGGTGTCAAGAGGCAGGCATGGGACATGCATTTATTAGCTGGATCAGGGAAGGTGGGCATGGCCCTTGCAGCACTTGCTATTTCATATTCAGCTTTTCCATTCAGCAGATGACTTCCTGGCTGTGGAAGAGGCAGCAACTCCTATGGTAATGTGTTTCTGTAAAGTAGCACTGGAATCTTCAGAAAGCTCAAATTAGAGTCTTTTTCTTTGGTAACTCAAATGTTATGTTTTACTTAATATCCTGTAACACATCACTTTCTGCTTAAAATAGCAAGAATAAATTCTGTTCTTTGCAACAGAATCCCAACTGATATATCCACTTTAACAGAGAACACTGAGGCATAGAGAATTAAAGTACTTGCCCAAATCATATCTCCAAAGAGGGAAAAGGCCAAGATCTAAACCCAAGCAATCTGTATTCATAACCACTAAGTTATACTGACTCTTTGTAAAGCAAAGGGCCATGAGAATTCAGAGAAGGGAGATGTCAGTGCATATTTAAGGACTCAGTGAGGAGTCTGGTAGAGGAAAATGGAAACTGAAAAAGGCTTTGAGATGTACACAGACTTTTAGGTAATTAAAAGAAACTAAGGAAAGGCTTTACAGCTGTGGAGAACAGAGCACGCAGAGAGAACATAGAAAAAGGTAAGACTCCTGTTTTACTCAAACTGATTCACCATTGCAGGTTGTGTAATGGGCAAAAATTATGATTTTAGATTCTTTGTCCCATGGTCTTCCTCTCTTTCCCTGCAAAGTGTCCAGCGTGGCATGTGTTACTTATGTGACAAACTCAACAATTGTAAAATTTGATCTGATTCATCTCCAACTGACAGACGCCCCAAGGGCCTCAGCTTACAGTTCTTCCTACAAGACTTAATTCAGGGCTTCTCATACTGTAGGTGCTTGGTTAAAATCTGTGACCCCAGTCAGTAGAAGAAAGGAATTCTGGAGGCTGTTTGGTACCATGGAAAGAACTCAAGTTTTTAGAGCCAGACAGTTTAAATCCTAGCTGTTGCATTTATTACTCGAAGGGCTTTAAGGAAATAAATTGCTGAAACTTTCTGAGCTTAGGGTGTTTTTGTTTGTTTGCTTGCTTGTTCTGTTTTAGGCTTTTGGACAAAGAGAGTTACGTTCACCACCACCAGGCAGTTGTGGGCAGTAGAGTGAGAGGTTTAGAAGCAGGAGATAATAAATCAGTACCATTCTAGGTGGTGGATATAGAAGTAGCCACTGAACACGTCTCTCAATTTTTCCTCATTTGAAAGATCTAATGAAACTCTGGGAAAAATATTATCATAATGTAGATTCAAATTCAAAGACACTTGCCCCCAAAACAAAACAAAACAACAGAACTTGTAGCGGAGCACTGAACT